ATCTGATGGTAAAAATCAATGGCATGAAGACCCATGTTCGAGCGATGATCGTGGATGCATTGGCGGCTAATTTCATTTTGGGCATGGATTGGTTGACGTACTATGATGTTCATATTTTGCCGGGTGATCAACAGTTGAAACTCCATCATCGACGGTGGTTGACAATTGCTTCGTTTGACACGGATACACCCATTGACGCAAGAGTTGATAAAGAATATCAGATATTACCTGGTTCCGAGTGTGTGATAACATTGAAAATCACAATGGCACCGGCACAAAATCTGTATTTTCAAGCAATTAACGGACAATTGCAAAATCAACGACGAATTACTCTTCAGGATGGCCTGGTCACTGTTGATAATAGTACCCTCAAAGTACAAGTACTCAATTCATCCAAATCTTCCGTCACGTTACAGAAGAATGTGAAATTGGGCACATTGTCACATCTATCATTTGATACATACTGTTCAACAATGACACAAGTAACAGAGGTTGGTGCGAATGGACCAAGAATCAGCACAGTCAGCGATGAAAATCTTGTTAACAAATCGATTGCATCACTGGTTGCTCATATAACTGATCAACAACAACACCAACTGGTTGAGTGGTTGGTCGTCACCAAGTGGTGAGTTTCGGTTCATTGAAGACTATCGCAAACTAAACTCAATCACTAAAAAAGATTCATATCCACAACCGACGACGGAAGAACTATTACAACGATTGGGTGGTCACAAGTGGTTCACAAAATTAGACCTGCACACTAATCTGCTTGTAACATATAGAATAAATTTTAATAAGTTTCTGTTTATTCAAGGTTTTCACCCCATTTATAAAAATAATTACTTTTGGAACTTGACGCTAGTCCAAGTCTGCTAAATGATTTGTTATGAATAATCATTTAATTATATTTCATAAATGGGATGAAAACTTTGAATAAACAGACACGTACTAAAATTTATTCTAGTAGTTGCAGAAGTCTAATACCAATAATAATCACCATCCTTATCAGGGTCGTCATTACTTGCCATACCGTCTACTACAAGATAATGATTTTCTATATTTAGCAAGACCTTATCAACATAAAGCAAATAATCATCGATCATCAAATGCATATGTAACCAACTTGGCGTTTATTAAAGGGAATAACATTTTTCCTGAAATTGAATTTAATAAAAAACAGGTTGTGTATGATAAACTGGCACTGTAAGACCAGTTGATTTAACAAGTGTATCGGTAGGACCGGTAATTGTAAATGAATATGAATTTTGTTGTTTAATAAAATGATTTTGAGAATGTATTCGTTCAAAATTTTCTCGGCAATCCATATAGATAGAAAAGAAAGACCTCTTCATATTTTTCTTGCTGGCCATCGCCCGGTTAGAATGGCATAAAAGTGAAGACTTCATCTCATACCCGAAAAATCTACATAGATTTGCGAAAGGGCATGGGGGCAATTTTAAGGTTCTGCTTGGGTTCAAAATTTTTTCGTCATGTTATATTTGACCGTTGCCAAATATAGCTTTCTATAGTCAGTTTCACCCTAGGAATAAGGAAAAGTTCAGTTGGACAACAAAAACAGAATGAAAAACTAATATTTCATATATTTTTCAAAATATACCCGTGTTTAGAAAAAATGGGATATCTTAGTATTTTAAAATCTTTTCCACCAAAAATACTTTTTGCAAAGACAAAAACAGCTTTTTTATACTCAAATCGATGCCTGCTATCCGAATATGTGTGGAAAAACGAAAAAAAATGTGCTCGATTTTCGAATTACTGGCACATTAAGTCTTTTAAAAATCTTTGGTCACTTAAAAGAGATGAGGAAGTTGATCGATCAGGACAAATGTATCTAACAGACTTTGTTTATCCTGAGACATCCTGCTATCAGTCATCTTAGATGATTCATCTAAAATAAAATGTAACTAAAAGAATACCTGTGAGTAGAACACTTCTGAGGAAAAAGAAACGCTGCAAAAACTTTAAACACAATAAAAAGACACAAATCCTTTTTGACTAATATCATCTTCATATTAATTTTCAGACACTAGCGATATCTGGTCGTGAAAAAAATTAGACTAAACAGAAATTATGCTGATTTTCTCGTTCACATGTATTTAACAAACAGAGATCTTTTGCTTTCTGTCCCGTTTTCTGAGGCAGAAAATATAAAAAAGAGACAATGTGGAAATTCTTAAAAT